CTTTGTAGGGTTATCCTGATTTAGCTAAACAACACAGAGCTATTTTATTTTTACACTTAATTTTAGTTAATTTAAGATATTTAATCTTAAATTAACTAACAGTACAAAACTGGTTCAAATTGATATTCTCTCACGGGAGTGTGAAGTGTTGGGTGGGAGGAGCCAAATTAACACTAAGGGAAGCTGAATTAACACTAGGGGAAGTTGAATTAACACTAAGGGAAGTTGAATTATCTTCAACCATATCAACTCTGGCAAATAACTCCATCTCGAACCTCCATTTAACTTTAATAGTTAAAATAATAATATAATAATAATAATAACAATAATAATAATAAATAATAATAATAATAATAATAATAATAAAATTATACTTTTTGTGTTAAAAACAACTCTGAAATATTTTACCCTGAAATTTTAACCCTCCAGTTTTTGCTGTGCACATAGACTAGTACACACATGGACACTATGAACCTACCTACTGAGGGATTACACACTTACATAGAAAAGAAAGTACTTCCATTTAATGGTGAAAATCACAGAATCGGTATTGAGTGTTACATCCGTTCCGTAACATCGAAGTTGCGTTGGAAATCTTAGTATCGTGACGACACTACTAAGAATTCAAATTTGAGTTGTTGTTATGAAACCAAATGGACCAAAAAACTGTGACTTTCTGGTGCAACTTCTTGTTTCCATGTTTTTGCCTCGTCAGGTTTGTGCTAACTCCAGAATGTTGATGTTGAGGCTGCTTGCTGATACATTGATTAATATGCACTGTCCTAATTAAAAATAAATATATAAAGCAATTCCTGTATTACCACGTGACATCACAAGGTGGAATAAAGAGAGAAGAACTCAGCCTAAATATGCAGGACATGTGGGAATGAAACAAAACACAACTCCAAGTCTGTTTATGATCAGGAAACTAGAACAGAGATCAGAAAATTTAGTGATATGGTCTGATATGTCCTGTCGATTTGAGCTACCTAGAGCTTCTGTGCATGTGCAAGACCCCCAAGAGCTGTTAAAGTTTAAATGCCGAGGCAGAAGTGGAGTAACAAGAAACATTTTAAAAGTATATTGATTTTATTGTTTGTTTTGTCCAGTTAAACATCGACATGTGTATGTTGGATTTGAGGCAGAATATCTACGTTACATGATTGAATAGTTGGATTTACTATTTGATTTTATCATTATCATTTTCATTACTTCGTATTTTATTTTGTTCCCATGTGTAGAAAACTGTGAGGGTTTCATACTGCTCCTCCTACCCCTCCTTTCCCTGCTCCTTCTTTCATTACCTTGTTTGGCTTTTCCTGGGCGGATCCTTAAAAAAATTTTGCAACTTTGTTTAGAAATGCATTGTATAAATAAAATATCACTATATTATAATAGGAAATTCACATTGTAGCCTGTGATATTAGCATTAAATATATAATATTTAATGCTATTTAAGATTTGAGTGTTTCCAGTCATTTCTTTCTCTTCTGTAGTGGCAGTTTTATTTGATAGAAAATATCGTCCTGTGGAAATGAACTCCTCTACCCAAATTCATCTAAATGAGTGAATAATGTTGGTTGTACAGTGGGACATTGTGTGATGGATAAATTGCCCTGTGGATCTGTGCTCCCTTTAGTCAGAATTCTGTTTGAACGGAATACATCTGTTCAAATGAACTAAACAAATTCATATAAATGAGGTGAAATTTGACATAACTAAAGTTAAAATTTGATCACCATGTGCAAACAGCATCAAACCTGCATCCCTAATTCAAAGAAATATGTTGTAAAACTGGGCAGGTCAGGATTTGGTTTTATTGAATCTATACAACTGTAAACTGAAAACAGAAGGTCACTTATTTCAATGGGGTAGTGTGAGTTGATAGACGTCACTGTCGATTTAGGCTGCTGGGAGATAATTTCAATGGAACAGCGCATTTTGACAAAACAGTGGGCCCTTTAAATCAGCACAGTGGACCTTCTTCTGCCTCACTTTTGTCTCTAAACTCTCCTAAACCACACTTATTTTATGGGGGCCCTTTCAGTTAAAGGGGATCCCCTTCATGTCAAAAATTTGGGAAACATTTTGCATCTTAAAAACGAGATAATGTCGGTTAATTTGTGTGACCATCACGTTCACATCATGCCAATTCTTTGGAGGCTTTAAAACGGATTTATCGTCCTTATTGAACTTATTTGCTCTAAGAATCAGCTGCATACAGTAATGACTGAAAGAACAAGATCTCGGATACAAGCGGCTAAAATGAGTTTCCTTCGCAGGGTGGCTGGGTGCTCCCTTAGAGATAGGGTGAAGAGCTCAGTCACAGGAGGAGCTTGTAGTAGAGCCGCTGCTCCTCTTGACATGGGAGCCAGTTGAGGTGGTTCGAGCATTTGTTCTGAGGCCTCCTGGGTGCTTCTCTTGGGAGGTGTTCCTGGCATGTCCCACCAGGAGGAGGCCTCGGAGAAGACCCAGGACACTCTGGAGGGACTATGTCTCTGGGCTGGCCTGGGAACACCTCGGGGTCCCGCTGGAGGAGCTGGAGGAAGTGTCTGGGGTGAAGGAAATCTGGGAGTCCCTGCTTAGACTTCTGCCCCTGCAACCTGGCCCTGGATAAGAGGAAGAAAATGGATGGATCGGCCCCATACAAAATAATACAAAACAAATCGTGATCCACAGGTTGGCAGTGTGATTCCAGCTCTCACAGATGAATGTTGTTGTTGTGTCCTTGGGCAAGACACTTAACCCACCTCACCCCCAGTGTCTGTGTACACTGGTGTGTGAGTGTGTGTGTGAGTGTGTGAGTGTTTCCTTGTTGTAAAATACTTTGAGTGTCTTGAAGGTGGAAAAACACTGTATCAAAATGTAAAAATTGACCAAAGTGAATAATAAATGTTGAATTATTTGAACTCATAGGTGTGATATATTTAAGTTCACGTAAGTTCACGATAAACTTCAATATTCTCAAAACAGAGAGGATGATTGTGCATTCACAGAGCAACGCCCTTATATATATAATATCTTTAAAAATCATCTTATTCAAAATATACTTTATTTAAAAACGATGGACACATGACAGTTTCAAACATCCCCCACAGAACACAGGAAGACACAGGCTGAAATGCTAATGCTAATGCTAATGCTAATGCTCGTGCTAGTCACAGGTTTATGGCTCACGTCACAGCTCTCCTCGAACCTTTAACACACAACGGCTTTCAAATGTGGACTCACTTCAACAAAATCATATTTTGTTTAGTGGCAAGAAACACCACCCACCTCACAACCAGACCTCCAGTCCTCATTTAGTCCTGGTTTAGTCCCGGTTTTGTTCCTGGTTTATTTCCTAGTCTATTCCTGGTTTAGTCCTGTTTTACTACTATCTTAGTGCTGGTTTAGTCCTAGTTTAGACCTGGTTTAGTCCTGGTTTTGTTTCTGTTTCAGTCCTTGTTTATTTTCTAGTCTAGTCCAGGTATAGTATTTTTTTTTTTTTTTTTTTTTTTTTTTTTAGTTTCTTGTTTTGTCTTTGTTCTTTGTTTTGTTTGTATCTTTGTTTTATCTTAGTCCTAATTTAGACCTATTCATTCCTGATTTAGTCCTAGTTTGGTCCCAGTTTAGTCCTCATTTAGTCTCAGTTTAGTCCTGGTTTAGTCTCAGTTCAGTCCTGGTTTAGTCATAGTTTAGTCCTGCTTTAGTTTCAGTTTAGTCTCAGTTTAGTCATAGTTTAGTCCTGGTTTAGTCTCAGTTTATGCCTGGTTTAGTCTCAGTTTAGTCTCAGTTTAGGCCTGGTTTAGTTTCAGGTTAGTCCTGGTTTAGTCCTCATTTAGCCTTAGTTTAATCCTGGTTTAGTCTAAGTTCAGTACTGGTTTAGTCTCAATGTAGTCCTGGTTTAGTCTCAGTTTAGTCCTGTTTTTGTCTCAGTTTAGTCCTGGTTTAGTCTCAATTTAGTCCTGGTTTAGTCTGAATTTAGTCCTGTTTTAGTTTCAAATTAGTCCTGGTTTAGTCTAAATTTAGTCCTGGTTTAGTCTCAGTTTAGTCCTGGTTTAGTTTTAGTTTAGTCTCAGTTTAGTCATAATTTAGTCCTGGTTTAAGTCTCAGTCTAGTCCTGGTCTAGTGGTTTAGACATGGTTTTGTTTAAGTGATTTAGACCTGCTGTAGTTTAAAGTTGGTTTAGTCCTAAGTCTGCATGTTCCAGTTCTGGTCTAGTCCTGGATCAGTCTTGGATCATGGCCGGTTCAGTCCTGGTTTATTTCCTGGTTTAGTCCTGGTTTAGTCCTGGTTTAGTCCCTGGTTTAGCCCTGGTTTAGCCCTGGTTTAGTCCTGGTTTAGTCCTGGTTTAGCCCTGGTTTAGCCCTGGTTTAGTCCTGGTTTAGCCCTGGTTTAGTCCTGGTTTAGCCCTAGTTTAGTCCCAGTTTAGTCCATGAGCTGCTTGTGTAAAACATTGTTATAAAAGTATAGTGCAAAAGTCAGACAGATGCTGGATTACAAAGTACAGAAACTCTCTTTGACAGAAATGTGTCGTATAACGGGCTGCATATTCTCTTCTATATTGTGTAGTATTCTGTAGTATATTTTGTAGTATATTTCCCGGTCCGTTCATGAGGCTTGGTTCAGCTCTTGTCCTCGCCCCTCACTGTGATGATGACTTTCCTCTGTGGTGAAACAGCTGAGGAAAAAAAACAAACAAAAAAATGACAAAAATACACCTGGAAACAAATGAAGGATGGTTTAAATGAATATGACTAATGTATATTCTTTTAGTACGAGAGTATAGGACCTTACTTTTTTTTCATGGATTTCATTTTCATCTGGTTTTACGGGGACATTTTAAGGACTTTAGACCATTCAAAAGATCAAATATTTAGTTTTTAACTCCTAATAGATGCATTAAGAATCTCGGACTTCCGGTCATTGTGCATTTCATACTGAGAAGCATTTTCCGAAAAAGTGAGCATCAAATCTCCATGTTTGTTTTCTCAGTGTCTATTGTCAAAGTCGATCTTTTCTAGTCTTTTGAACCATATCACTTTTGTTTCTGATTCTGATATTGTCATATTTTAGTTTTGGGATTCAGACATTCTAATTGTGTCATTGTTGGATCCTAACAGCGGAAATGTGTTTGTGAACTCCATAATTGCAAAAGTGAATCAGATGTGTGTGACTGCAAACCTCTGTTCAAACTGTTTCTCTTCCCAACGGAATTGAAAAATAGTGAAAGGTGAAGGTGATGGGCAGGATTGATCCACAGGAAGAACCAAAAAGGAAACCTTTGACTGTCTAAGAAATCATCCTGAGTTTGCAGCGGATATTTTTGTATGTGGAGCGACAACAAAACAAAATCCCGATCCTTCGCTCCACCGTGATTACGAATTTAAAAAATCAACACCAAAGCGAAAGGCACCAACTATTCACCAAGAAACACCTTCCACTGCAGAGAGACCAAGACGTGATGTTGCTGTAAAACCAAAGAACAAGAAAGTGCAGCTCAGTCTGTTTGTCTTCTGTACCTCTTGATTAACAAACAGGATCCTGCTTTGATGGCACTTCACATACAAAATGTTTGCTGCAAACTTGGGATGATTTAGACAGTCAAAGGTTTCCTTTCTGGTCCTTCCTGTGGATCAATCCTGCCCATCACCTTCACTTTTCACTATTTTTCAATTCCGTTGAGAAGGGAAACAGTTTGAACAGAGGTTTACAGTCACACACATCTGATTCCCTTTTGCATTTATGGAGTTCGCAAACAAATTTCTCGAGCCATTTTCTGCTATTAGGATCCAACAACCACACAATTAACAATGTCCGAATCCCAAAACTAAAATATGACAATATCAGAACCAGAAACAAAAGTGATATGGTTCAAAAGACTAGAAAAGATCAACTTTGTCAATAGACAAACATGGAGGTTTGTTGCTCACTTTTTCGGAAATTCCTTCCCAGTATGAATTGTGCAATGACCGGAAGTCTGAAATTCTTAATGCATCTATTGTTATATATGTATGGTTTGGTGGTTGCTATTTGTTTTGTGTTTTTTGTTTTAATAATAGGTTTTGGTTTTATTATTGTTTATTGGTATTATTTGAAAAAATGACAAAAGACTGAAATCTGAACTGACAAACGAAAACAAGAATCACATTTCAGAGCCTTAGACTGAGGGATTGTGCAGACCTCAGCTACAGGATTAGCAGTTTTTTGTTTTTTTGTTTTTAAGTGGAATAAGACTTTTGTTGTTTGTGGAGGAAATGGTGGTACATCGAAAAACTGCATTCTTTGTGATTTGTTAATGTGTCTGTTCATATAGTGATTTTGGTTTGCCTGATCCTGCGGCCCTCGTGCTGTGGCAGTGCTGCTCATGTTGACTCAGTATGAAAGTGACAGTGCCTTATACACTTTATGGAGATGAGAGTTTGTTTTTATTCAGTAATCATATTCATTTTAAAACCGGGCTCACGTTCATCTGAGTCGCTGTCCTCTCTCTTCCTCTTGCCTCCACTGTCCGCTCCGCTGTCACCGCTCTCCTCCTCCCTCTCATCAGAGCTACTGACCCCTCCTGCCTCCTCCGGGGACTGCGCACAGTTACACCCAAGTCACAAACTAATCACACTTATTTTCTAAGTAAATCTTATTGATACTTTGCAGCTGATATCATCAACATTCCCTGGTGAGGGGTGGGTGAAGGGGCAACAGTTTTTCACCTTTTTGTTGAAAATCAAACTCCTAAACAAGACCGTGCACACTTGTATTGATCACAGACTCCTGAACATTTGTTGCTTAATTCCATTTTGTGTTGAAATAAATTTTCAGATGATCTAAAAACATATCAAGCTCTGTTTACTATATGTGCGTTGTGTCACCATGGAAACTGCTAAACATTCTACCATAGACATAGATGCACCCTTCCCGGCATGACGTCACTGCAAAATATCCTACTCAAAGAGGGAATCATTTGTGTTTCCCTTGTGCACATATCATCAAATAACAGAAAATCTTTGTCAAAATGTAAAATGATACTATTGTATTGTTTTGTATTGTATTGTACTGAATGACGTACGTTCTGATTGGATGATGATGAGTCGTGTTTCTGCGCCGCAGACTTGAGACTCTCCAGCACCACCACTGTTCAGACACAAGAGGGAGCTCATCAACATTCATTAATTATCATTACATGATTTAAAAGCTCTGTACCTCATTTTTATTGCTTTAAAAAACATGAAAAATAAGTAATTCTCTGTGCAGTGGTCCAAAGTTCTTCTTCACTTTGCTTGTGCAGTTAGAGCATTCTGATTATTCACCACAATGAGTTTATAAACACTTTTCACACTCTCAGAGACCAGAGAGGAGTATTCCTGATTATCGGACAATAAAACACCTGATTAGGGTCAAAAATGATTAGATGCAGACTTATTTTGATTTCAAGAGCAGCTTATACAATCTGTACTGGGACTAGGCTGCTTTTGTGGCTACCTGGCTCACATAGAGTAGTCTTTGAAACTTTTGTGCTTTTTGATTTCAGTTTTCCACAACATATCAGGACATTTTAAACCAACTAAGAAGTGCAGCATGTACAGTTCAAAAGACACAAGTGAGGGGCTGCAGGATTTTGTGAAATGAGCTGTTTGTTTTTGGCACATGTCTGGCAGCAAATGTGGCAGAAGAACTTCGAGAAGAAACATTTTCAGGGAATGGATCATTTTGTCAACAACTGAAACACCAGAGCCTTTCCTGTCCATGCTGTAGGACACAGAGCAGGGACATAGAATCTGCTGACCCTCCCTGACCAGTCCTCCTGTCAAACTGACCTCAGACCTTTGACAAATATCAACTGCTGCAGCAAAACTTGAATTTCCCTCAAGATCAATAAAGGATCTCTCTCTGTCTCTCTGATACTCTTTTGTTACGGCGTTAGTCTTTGGTCAGTGTCAGTTGTCTGTATTGTGCCGTGTGGAGAGGTTTACCTGGCCTCAGAGAGATGGTGAGCACTGGGACCTTTTTGCCCTGCTCGTCTTTCCCATTCACCTGCTCCTTCTGTTTGACCACCTGCTGAAAACAAACATTATGTTCTCAGAATACTGGACAACACAGTCTTAAAGAGGCACTGCATAACTTTCCCAACTTCTCGTCTTCATGGAGATGTTATTGCATTGCTTAACATGTTCCTAGTAAGGCATGTACCTTTCATACACAGTTACTGTTGTTTTAATTTCTCATGTTGATGTTGTAAAGTCTGAGGTGGACATCAGGGACCTGTATGACTTCCTGGCAGATCCACTGTTTATGAACAAAGTCTCCAAACGTCTGATCCACGGATGCTGAAGCTTCTCATTATTTGTTTGGAATTGGCTTCACAAATGTGTCATATTAATCTTTCACCTGAAACTCTCACGTCTTTGGGGTTGAAAATCATTTGACTTTAGTTTATTTCACCTGACAGAGAAGATGTTGAACTTTGTGCTAGTTTTTCTTGAATGTGTAGGGCAGAGGTCTCCAACCTCTTTTTTTACAAAACGAAAATGCCAAAGAGCTACTAATTTCAGTGGTTGAAAGAAATAGATTTAAGGCAGAAGGCGAGTTGGGGTGCAGTTAGATGCCTATACAACATAAACCATTAATGGCCTTGCCCTGCAGCACCGGGCTGACCTGCTGGTGCTGTCCTCTCCAATGTGCCTCCCTCAAGGTTCCTCAATCCTGGAGGAAGTTTAGAGAAGACAGAGCATTTTCTGTTGGGCCTAAATTATGGAATGAGTTGACTATTCACATAAGACAAGCTACAGTAACTCTCTTCTTGTTTTTAAATCACTTCTTAAATCACCCGTTTTGTTTTTTTTGGGGTTTTTTTTTTTTGCTTTTAACTCATTTTGAGGTCTTGTAATATTGAATAATTGTATATATACTTGTTCACAGTATTTTACACATGATTTTATCTCTGTGTACAGAGATAACTGGATTTAGAATATCCAGTTATTAGTGCACAGAGTTAGGCACCAGTGGTAATATTCATATAATTAAACCATTTTGAGTTATTCAGGATAATATGTATAATTCAGAAATCCCTTTCTAGAGATACTGGAAGAGGATGGAAAGCTACTGGAGCTGGTACTCCTGACCCCTGGTGTAGTGTGACCAGACATCCCTGTTTACCCGGGACAGTCCCAGTTTTGAGCCTGTATCCCCTGTCCCAGCACGTTTATACAAAACCAGTGATTTGTCCCAGTTTTATTCAAGAAATGTCCCAGGTGTCCCTATTTTGGACTAATTTGATCACTACCAACAGTAAAGAGAAACATAAACTGTCATTTATTTAGGTAAAATACAGAAAAGGATGCTTAGAATTACCAAAACACAAAGAAAATGTGACTATACTGACTCATGTTCATGTTCATGAATGCGCTGAGCACAGAACAATTTTCCTTAATAACACACTCGATTCACAATTTTATTATTACCAACCACCACAAATCAGGGGTGTCCTAGTTTTAGATTTTTTAAATTTGGTCACCCTATTCATGTGGATACACCCAGTCATTACAGATATATGAACAATAAAGCAGGTCAACAAATCTGCATCTGACAGTTACACAGCAAACTCCACCTGCGACTCTGACCTGTCTCCACCTCAGTTAGTCCTGGTTTAGTACAGGTTCAGTCCTGTGGTTAGTTCCTTGGTTGGTCCATGTTTAGTCCTGATTTAGTCCTGGCTTAGTCCTGGTTTAGTCCTTGTTTAGTCCTGGTTTAGTCCTGATTTAGTCCATGTTTTGTCCTGGTTTAATCCTGGCTTAGTCCTGGTTTAGTCCTGGTTTAGTCCTGTTTGGTCCTGGTTTAGTCCTGGTTTAGTCCTGGCTTAGTCCTGGCTTAGTCGTGGTTTAGTCCTGGTTTAGTCCTGACTTAGTCCTGGTTTAGTCAAGGCTTAGTCCTGGTTTAGTCCATGTTTTGTCTTGATTTAGTCCCAGTTTAGTCCTGGTTTAATCCTGGTTTAGTCTTGATTTAGTCCATGTTTAGTCCTGGTTTAGTCCTGTTTTTTTCCTGGTTTAGTCCTGGTTTTGTCCTAGTTTAGTCCATGTTTTGTCCTGGTTTAGTCCTGGTTTAGTCCATGTTTTGTCCTGGTTTAGTCCTGGTTTAGTCCATGTTTTGTCCTGGTTTAGTCCTGTTTTTTTCCTGGTTTAGTCCTGGTTTTGTCCTAGTTTAGTCCATGTTTTGTCCTGGTTTAGTCCTGGTTTAGTCCATGTTTAGTCCTGGTTTAGTCCATGTTTTGCCCTGATTTAGTCCTGGTTTAAAGTTTAAACTACAGTGAGCTGATGTGAGGTGTCTGCATTCACCTTTTTGTTCTCGCTGCCCTCTTCTGGTGTCTCTTCTGCTGTCTTCTCCTGTGTCTCCTCCGGCCTCTCCTCCGGTCTCCCCTCCGGTCTATCCTCCGGTGTCTCTGTCACAGTTGGGGTCGTAGTCGCCTTGGGGGCAGACTGCGGTTCTGCACACGTTTCATCTCCGCTCTGCACGGCGCCCTCTGCTGGAGCTGCCTGCACTGCGCCCCCTGGTGGGGAGCTGTCCCGCGGTGCAGGTTTGGTCCTCCCCGTGTCTGACAGGTCAAGAGGTCCCTCACACTGAAAAGGAGACAACAGAACAGTGAATTTTAGGGATGTAACAATAACCAAATCGGTACAATATTATCACGATATGCATCTCACTGTACAATATTTATTGCAATATTTTGGAGAGGCTGATATAACTGTAGATAGGACACTTTTTTGCTTTTAAAATACCTTGACAAGATTTTGGTGTGAATTATTGCCTTCATAATCCCAAGAATTAAAGTAAAAACACATTTCTTCATGATGTCTACACTGAAATGAATCATGGGATATGTAGTACCAGATGTTTATAAGCTGTTACTACTGTAAAAGCATGCATTTAAGCAAAAGAACTTGTAATTCAATATACTGTGACAGCCCAAGATATTATTGTGAGACTTTTGACAAAACGATATCATGATATTTTGGTTATTGTTACATCTCTAGTGAATTTAGAATGGGCAAATTGTAAGTTTATAATTAAAGACAGAATGAACCTTTACCAAAGATGCAGAGTTACTTTTCTGGGGCACTGACATGTTTAGATCATCATGTTTCCTTTAATTGTTTGGAAAATGCTATATTCACTGAAAACAATATATGAACATGTTAAATATGTTTAAGGCCCCTCTCCCTTTGCTCCCCATGCTAAATCACTTCCCCTTCAGAGTGCTATCACAACACAATCAGCGTGCATCCCACTAATGAAACGACTGCACATCACATCAGGTTTGTCAAGTTGCTGTGTACATGTTTTGTATACTGTATTTTCTGCACTATAAGGTGCACTCCTAAGCCTCCAACCCCATCAAAATATGACCGCGCGCCCCACAATCCAGAGCGCCCTATACACGAATCCACTCGGGTGTCCCAGCATGACTTCAGTAAACTACAAAGCACCCACAGTGCACGCAAACACACACGGAGCAGACAGCGACCTCACAGCCAAAAACACCCACAGACACACTCATCATTCCACGCCGAAGAGGAAAGGAAAGGAGGAACAAACCGAAAAAGTAAGTCCAATGTGCCACTTCTAGACACGACTGAACAACTGAGTCACTGTGAACACGCCGACAATCTGTTGGTCCCAGACAGCACCCTCCCTACACGCCACAACTGAACAAAGCCCAGAGTCACTGTGAACGCCACAAACAAAGTCCAACTGACACATCTAACTGTTGGGTTTCCTTTAAAGTTTTGTTTAAAGTTTATTTATAAAAAAAGTTCCAAACAGACCATTCAGTGACAGTGCCCCTTATAATCCAGAGCGCCCTATAGTGCGGAAAATACGGTATTTATAGAGAATCGTCGTGTAGGAGCATGGGGGAGGTAGACTTGTACAAGTTCGTACTGCTAACCGTAAGGAAGGCTAGAATAGTGTTCGTGAGAGATCTCTAGATTACTCAAATATGCAAGAATGAGAGAAAATTACTGGACAAAACAGGACTGTTACACACACTGCATGAACAATGATCCGTGACATGTAACCTTGTTTGGTTTAGTTATTCTTTTTTAGGCCCTAATACATTGTCTTGAGGCCAAAATTTGAAAAAACAAACAAACAAACAAAACAAAACAAAACAAAAAAAACACTCTTTTCTTTAGACAATAGAATGTGATTCCCAACATTAAATGGCAGCACTTTCTTTTTTTATTCCCATTTGTTTTTATATGAGGGATACTTCAAATATTTTATAATTCAATAATCATCAAATAATTCACATATCAAATATTAATAAAATGTTTCTACTCCAAAAGAAGGTTATCAGGATAATTAATTATGTAAATTAATATGCACAAACAAATCCTCTTTTTGTTAAGATAAAAGTACTTCCGTTTTTGATCTTGTTGACCTGAGTACACCAGTAGTGATGTACAAGGCCTAGATCATACTTCCCCCTGGTATATAGGAGTTATAGTATAGTATAGTATAGTATAGTATAGTACAGTATAGTATAAGTATAGTATAAGTACAGTATAAGTATACTATAAGTATAGTATAGTATAGAATAGAATAGTATAGTATAAGTATAGTAATAGTAATAGTAATAGTATAGTATAGTATAGTATAGTATAAGTATAGTATAGTATAAGTATAGTAATAGTATAAGTATAGTATAGTATAGTATAGTATAGTATAGTATAGTATAGTATAGTATAAGTATAGTATAGTACAGTATAGTATAGTATAGTATAGTATAGTATAGTATAGTATAGTATAGTATAGTATAGTATAGTATAGTATAGTATAAGTATAGTAGTATATAGTATAGTATAGTATAGTATAGTATAGTATAGTATAGTATAGTACAGTATAGTACAGTATAGTATAAGTATAGTAATAGTATAGTAATAGTATAGTATAGTATAGTATAGTAAGTATAGTATAGTATAGTATAGTATAGTACAGTATAGTACAGTATAGTATAAGTATAGTAATAGTATAGTAATAGTATAGTATAGTATAGTATAGTATAGTATAACCTCAGAAGAACAGGATCTTAAAAAATAAAATAAAATAAAATAAATTCTATATCTGTATTTATATTTCTGTTCTAGGTGTTAGTTTATGGAACAACCTGAGTAATGATGTAAAAAAAAGTCTTACACTGCTGAAAAAAAAAAAAAAAAAAGTATGAAGCGTTATGTTTTGAAAGGTATATAGCTCTGGAATGAATTATACACTAAATGTTGTTTGTTTTAATGTATAGTTTGTCGACAGTAAGTCGCAAGTGAAACTGTAAATACAAACTTGCTGTTGTTGATGGAACTGTGTCATTGTTTAATAGGGTTTGGTGTTATAAGTACTTTTTTACTTCAGCCCAAACCTTTCGGTCATGATCCATGAGGTTGTAATCTGTTTAGTCTAGTGCTGCAAAATGTCCAAATAAACTACTACTACTACTACTAATATGTGTATAATCCCTCAGTGGTGCAGGAGGTTCATAGTGGTCCAGGGGTGTATACTAGTCTATCATTCTAAAGACATTCAGGAAAGATTCATTTCTGTCCTCTGAATGAGACGTTTTAGTATCGATACTTGCTCAAATGAGTATTTAGTTTTGACACTAATTTCAGTATCGATTATCAGTATCAGCATCAGCCCCCCTCCTCACCTCACTTCCCTCCTGGCTGCTGCCCTCCTCAGACGGCACCACATGGATCTCCTGTCCCTGTGCTCCTTTAGCTCCCTGTGCTCCCTGAGGCCCCTGTGCTCCCTGAGGCCCCTGAGGTCCCTGAGGCCCCTGAGGTCCCTGAGGCCCCTGAGGTCCCTGAGGTCCCTGAGACAGCAGTGGAGCGCTCCCTCTCTCCTGCTCTCTGCTCCTCAATCTGAACACCACCGTGGGCTCTTTGGTCTGGTTCTGGAGAGAGGCGGCTGGTTTGTGCCACACTTGCCCCGGGGTCAGTCGTCTGGACGAGTGGCTGTTGACGTGCTGGTGGGACGGGATCAGGTTTGGGAGGCGAGATTTGTTGCACTGCAAAAGAAACAACAACTTCATTTCAGAATTGAGACTTAGTTTTTCATATCTTAGTGTGTCTCTTGCATTCACTTTATTGGTGGGGGCTGCGATAGAGATGTAGCTTAGCCTGAAATGTTCCACAGTATGGCATTAAACTTGTCTATCATGCATTTATTCAATTACTGGTGTTGATATAGCTAAAACAAACTACAACAGGAGTCTCCAACCTGTAGCCAAGTAGCTCACCAAGGGATTTCTTAATTATATGTGCTGAATAAGTAAAATCTGATTACCGTATTTTCCGTCATTACATGGTCTATTTTCTAACTTTTTTCACAAATAAACCGCACCGGACTTTAAATGAAACCCAACAGTGTGATGGGTGAGTGGTTTTGTTTGTTTGTGGCGTTCACGGTGACTCTGGGCTTTGTTCAGTTGTGGCGTGTAGGGAGGGTGTGTCTGGGACTGCTGGATTGTCGGCGTGTTCGCAGTGACTCAGTTGTTCAGTCGTGTCTAGAAGTGGCACATTGCACTCGCTTTTTCAGTTCGTTCCTCCATTCCGTTCCTCGTCAGCGTGGAGTGATGAGTGTGTCTGTGGGTGTGTTTTGCTGTGTGGTCGCTGTCTGCTCCGTGTGTGTTTGTGTGCGCTGTGGGTGATGAGGCTTTGTAGTTTACTGAAGTCTTGCTGGGACACCCGAGTGGATTCGTGAATAGGGCCCTCTGGATTGTTGGGAGCTCAGTCGTTTTTTGATGGGGTTGGAGGCTTAAGAGCATGCCCTATAGTGCGGAAAATACGGTAATTACCATTGTAAATCTACCATATTAATGCTCAGTTTTGTGCACTAATAAATAAATAATGATTTATATTTTATCCGTCTAACTGTCCCTAATCTAAGGCTGTGGCTCTTATATTTACTACATTTCTTGCATAAGTAGCTCTTTGGCATTTTTGTTTTGTAAAGGTAGCTCACCAAAGATAAAAGGCTGGCGACCTTTGACCTAAAAACACTTGGCATACCGTATTTTCCGGGCTATTAGGCGTGCTCATAAGCCTCCAACCCCATCAAAAAATGACTGCGCGCCCCACAATCCAGAGCGCCCTATACACAAATCCACTCGGGTGTCCAAGCACGACTTCAGTAAACTACAAAGCCGCAGCGCACGCAAACACACACGGAGCAGACAGCAACCGCACAGCCAAAAACACCCAAAACAGACACAACTGAACAACTGAGTCACTGCGAACACGCCGACAATCCGTTGGTCCCAGACAGCACCCTCCCTACACGCCACAACTGAACAAAGCCCAGAGTCACCGTGAACGAACAAACAAACAAAACCACTCACCCATCACACTGTTGTGTTTGATTTAAAGTCCAGTGCGGTTTATTTGTGAAAAAACTTTGAAAATAGACCATTTAATGACAGAGCGCCTTTATAATCCAGAGCACCTAATAGCCCTGAAAATACGGTAATTTACAGTCTCCATGAAGATAGATACATTTAGTGCCATACTCTGAAACATTAGAGGCAGAACAATAACATCTCCATGGAAACAAGCAAATTGTGGACTCTTGGAATGTTACACAATGGACCTTTAACAAATGTTCTATTTTATCCTCTGCATTTGACCCAGGCTCCAGGATCTGGCACCAGATGTGAGGCAGGATGGTGGTCAGGAGCACCTCGCTGGAGGACTGACAGTTGTGCATGTTTTGATTAAGAAATAAAGAGCTCTCAGCGAGAACATCGACTGAGGGAGTGTCATGTCACTCAAAGTGTTTGGCTCCAGTCAAATGAAGCTCAGGAGTCTCGCAGTTATACAAGCTAAGATAGAGACAAGTTCCATATTTGGAAATCCAGGTGCACAACGAAAGAACCAATCAGGAGCAAGGCTGCTGAAGGTAACACCCCTTCCTGCCCACACTGCTGGTTTTGGACAATCTGTGCAGCTTCTGTAGAGTTCAGGAATGGCCTCATACTCCCTGTAGGGATGATCACCAAGAGGGAGAAACTTGAAATGAGTAAAAGTAAAACCAGTCGTGTTTTAGGGCTTGTCTCATTGGGACTGCTCTAGTGCCCCTGGTGGTGGCATCCTCAGGGCGGCAGAGAACGTTTTTACGAGTAGGTACAAAACCCACCTTTTTATCTTGACTTTTATTGAAATTTTATACTTTTATGTGTTTTTATTCTACATATTTTACTATATTTGTTTATTTTAGGCACTGTTAGCTTCAACTCATATTCCTTTATCACTTTTAGGATTCCAGTGTTGCCTCTGTTGCAGCTTTCTGCACCAGGAGCGGAGGCCGACTGCAGCTCCCAGGGTCTGTCACGTGGGCTTCTGGTGGAGGGTTTGTGCTTAGACCTCATCTCTCCCCTGGGGTCCTGTGTCCTGGTGGAGGGTTGGTGCTTAGACCTCATCTCACCCCTGGGTCCTGTGTCCTGGTGGAGGGTTGGTGCTTAGACCTCATCTCTCCCCTGGGGCCTTGTGTCCTGGTGGAGGGTTGGTGCTTAGACCTCATCTCTCCCCTGGGGTCCTGTGTCCTGTTGGAGGGTGGGGCTTAGACCTCATCTCTCCCCTGGGGCCCTGTGTCCTGTTGGAGGGTGGTGCTTAGACCTCATCTCTCCAGCTTTTTCGAGCAGATCGTCATCGTACAGTCTACAATCATCATACAGCATACATACAGCATACATACAGTCGATGATTCTGACCCAGACATAAGCAGAACATGCAGACTGTGGATCACCTGGGAGGCGGCAATGGCAGTGGCCCAGTCTGGAGGGTCTCCGAGGGGGGGCCACGTAGGCAGAGGTCCCGGGGCGCTCTTCAGAGGATGGGGCCTGCACGGAACGGGGGCGTGGAGGATGTGTCTACTGGGGGCGTGGACCTCTGCTACAGGAGGGAGGGAGGAGAGGGAGGGGGAGAGGGAGACGGAGGGGAGGGAGGAGGAGAGCGAGGAAGGAGGGTGGGGCTTTCCAGGAGGAGAGCTGGAGTGTGTCTGGTCCTCGCTGTTAGATCTATGAAAAATACACAACTCATTATTCTAAAAAAAAAAAAAAAAAGACATAAAGCTCAGTTTCAGTAGAGGCACAACACTAACATTTCAAACTCAATTTCTACACTGAGAAATAGACTCAACACTCTCTCTTTAGATAATAAATAGATATATAGTGATTTTTACATTAAATGGTACTTTCTTTTAGTATTTTAGTAGTGTTTTCTTTTCTATGTCTGTAATCCCTCAGTTGTCGTAGGTTCCAGGGATGGTACTCTGCTCACATAGTGGGTGAAGTGTCTTAGATACAACTTCAGCTCTTGCCACTGTAGCCCGACTGTGGCACTTGGTGTTGCTGTGTTTCAGATGATGTCACAACATTCTATAGACCAATCATATTTACTACAGATGGGTCAAATGAATGTTCAGATGCAGATGTGTGCAGTAATACAGTGAGTTCTTGGATCTAGTCACTAATAGAAATGATCATGTTCAACATCTGGGAGGATGACATCATCATGTTCTACAATCTGAACACCACCAATTCCCAGCAGCCTCCCATCCAAGTAGCAGGTCCAGTCCTGCTTAAGTTTACTTCATCTCACCTTCTCTCCATGACTCTGGGCTGAGGTTTCCACGAGGCAGACGGGGAGTTTGGGAGGGGCTTATACGACTCCTGAAAACAGAAAAATCAAAGATTTAAAAGTGTCTAAAAGATTAAAGTGTCCCGGTGATCAGAGCAGAGAGGTCCAGACTTACAAAGACGCTGCGGGGCCACTCTCTCAAATGACGACTGTCACTTCGAGACTCTGTTGGGACAAGAACAGGAAAACATCAGGAAAAAAACACCTGAAACTATGTACGGCATTTACTGTTCATCTTTAAAATAACAAAAGTTTTTCTACAAATCAGAGTGGCTCTTTTGTCTCGAGGAGCAGATACTCTCCTCAAACTGCACTGTCAAAGATCTGCCTCATCAGTGTTTGTGTGAATCTGCTACAAAAGCTTTGACCTGTTTATTATAACGCTTTTTGAAGTGCTCTCTGTGTTAGTGAAATAGACACAACCACTTCAGCATGAGCTCTGTTCTATGCGTGTTATGTATTTTTTTCCTTTTGGATAAAATTATCATTTTGTGAAAGTATGAAAGTTAATAGAAGCCAAAGCATCTGCTGTTAGTTCTACTTTGAATTCCAAAGTGATCAGATTGAACCCATGGGCCATTAGGGGAAATCTGTCTCCATTTTATGAATGAGATAAATCTAATCCTAACAGAGTTGGGGCTGCGTTAAACATGGAGCTGTGGGGCAAAGACACGACTTGCACGTTCACTACATGTAATCTGATGTATCTGATTTCAGCTCTGGCTCTGGGCTCAACTCCTTTACTTTTCTCTTCTCCAAAAGGCACAAAAACAGCTATTTCCACTGCAAGAAAGAATCACATTTTCTTCCAAATAAATAGATTTGAATTTAACATTCAATTCAAGGATTTTTTATTTTTTTATTTTTTGCCCAGTCCTACACCAGCTTCATCTGAGCGTCTGTCACAATAATTCTTCTAACTGTTATAATTACAAATACAATGTGTTGTTGTCATATCACCAGACCCACTCTTCTGTATTCTGCAGACACCACGTTTACCTGTGCTGACTCTCGGAGGAGCTTCCACCTTCACCGTCGAGTCGCCTTCTGCTGCCTGACTGCCGCCCCTGCACTGACCTCTGCCGACCAGCGCCATGGGGTGAGGGGAGTGGTCAGGGGACGACACGGCCTTCACCTCCATGGGACCAGAGCCAGAGCGGCCGGACTGACTGACCACGAACAAACACAAGAGAGAAAGAGAGGAGATTAACTGTGGTTTAATGTGCACTTTATTGTCCTCTGCATTTGACCCATGTTTCAGTGTCTCTGAGTAAAACCTGCACTTAACCTAAGATTCAGTGTCTCTGTTTAGATCTTGCATTCATTAAATTACTTCTATATTTTTTTCTCAAAATAATAATGAATAATGAAAAATTTGTATTTTTAGAGTGAGTGGGCTCACCTCTCAGCAGATCTGACCTGTAACGTGACCTGGTGGAGTCGAGATAGATCAGTTTAATGCCACTTAACCTATGGATACAAGGTGCAGGTGGGGGACTGTCCTCTAGAAAAGTTACACAATGCACCTGACTTAGCTGAACTACAGTAACAGGTGAGCAGATTTGCACTGTTAAAGTTTTTTTTTTTTTTTTTTTTTTTTTACAGTCTCACATTTTAGTTGAAACTTAAACTCCTAAACAAAACCTTTAAGGGTCGGACTGATCACAGGCTCCTGAAAATGTGCCGTTTATGTCCATTTTGTATTTTAGTTTAGTATCTTAAAACTTATTTGTCTGTGTTTGCTAAGGCACTGCACTGTTTCCATAGTAACTGGTGAACATTCCACCAAAACACATACATGTAAAACACCTCCAGGCTGATGTCAAAGCAAAGTATCAATGAGGTTTGAAGTTGTTGGTGGGTTTCAGATTCTAGAATGTGAGGATGTCATAGTCCCAGATGGAGTTAGTGACAGTTTTGCTGATCACATTGTACTTTTCCATGAAATCTCCAAAAGGTCAATTCATAAATGTTGAAGCTGATCATTTCTATCAGTGATTAGTCCCAAGAAAAACAACACAAATCAGCATTTTAATAATAATACATTTCTCTCTCTGTATTAAATAATACTGACTTAGAGAATGTTGTGTTGTCATCTGAAACGCACTAATATCCCATAAATACTCTGGTCCAGTGGCTTTCATAACTTTTAGATTTGTTTCTGTCCCCCTCTGTTGGTCTATCGTGGGTATTGAAGCATTTTAAAATATTTCATACAAATCAAGATTTTGTAGTTTTGGAGGCAATTTCCTTATTTTTAGAATTTTTTGTCAGTTTAGAGAAGTAGATCGCATCAGAAAATCAAATTACCCAAACAGGACCAAACAGTAATAAAAATAAAATAAATAAAAATAAAATAAAATAAAGCAGGTATTTTACATGTGCAGTCCAAATGAAGGACAAATACTTCGAGCCTTACTCCAGTGTCGCTCGTAGACTCCGGTTCTCGTCCCTCAGCATCTTGTTTTCTTTCTTCAGGTTGTTTATGTCTGACACTTCACAACAAACAAATAAACAAACAATAAACAAGATCAGAAAAATGGAAAATACAACAGAAAAACTTCACAATGGGTAAAGTGTCTTGACTAAGAACACATTGGCAGTATGAATGCTGAGCTATAGTATAAAGATTCAATCACCCACCAGCCCACTGAGCTACTACAGTAATTAAAATGACAGCTGCAGTAGAATGTGTTTGAACTGGCTACCGTCTGGTTCCTGGGTAAAATGGGGCAAGTCAGGCTCCATTACACGAGGCCTAACCCCCTGCACCACTGTGATGCCCTACAGGAGATTTAACCCTCCTATACCCCAGGTACATTTTTGTACATCGCAACTTTTCTTTTTTGCATAACCTTGGATATATTGCACCAAATAGCACCAAAACTGTCCAGATTGTGTATTTTGGGATGTATTTTTATTTATTTATTATTTTCAAGATCACATTAATTGAACGATCTACAGTTAAAATCCTCACACTTGTTGTCCCATTGACTTCCATTCAAAATGTCTTTTTTTATTGGTATAAGTTTGCCAGTTATTTTTACTTTTTATTTATTTTTCATTTTGGTGTCCTTCAATTTTAATTATATATATATATATATATATATATATATATATATATATATATATATATATATATATATATATATATATATATATATATATATATATATATATATATATATATTTTTTTTTTTTTGCGTCTTTTTGAATTGTTATTTATTTATTTATTTATTTATTTATTTTCACACCCATAACCCACCCCAGGCAAGTATATTACTCCAGAATTCTCTTATACATAATCCCCATAGAACTCCATAGGAAAGCACAGGAAAACTATAGCTGTGTTTGCATACAGGACTACAGAAGGTGGAATGGCACGGTTTGGGTTTGAATTGTGAAAAGCACTAATTTTACCTTTTCTTAACAGGAGAAATCTACAAATTTATGATTTACAACAACCAAAGAAACATTTACAACCAAATAATGTGTGGTTATAATGAATGTCAGTGGGGGTTTAGGGAAAACAGCATTTTGTGCAAAAACTTAAAAAAAATAAATTAAAAAAATCAGTGTTGGCTTCTGATAACCTCATCACAAACAAATAAAATTTCGTTGAAAGATATAGAAATAACTGACTTTTTTCATTTTTGCCATACACATAAATTGATTCTTCCACATACAAAACTAGCATTTAAGGGGTTAAAATTTCAAAATATTATACATTATTTGGTATGAATGATTAGGGCAGTAAATGAAAACATTGATTAAAATAATAATAATAATAATAATAATAATAATAAATTGACAAAAAATCTGTACAGCATAAAAAAATAGTATGGTATTCTTTTTGGGTGTACATTTTTTCATGAAGGACCAGAGGTGTGATTTTTTATTTTTATTTTAAATGATTGAACCTCTAATGCCCTCGCCCTTACCCATTAGTGTGCTGTGTTTGGGGTATTGAACCTGTGACACCCTCGTTCTTACCCATGAGTGTAATATGCTGCATACTCTGGAGGTGCAGTGTTTCAAACTCTTGTTGTCGTTTCTTGGCCACTTCCTGTGTCACAGTGCAGCGATCACACAGCCCTGCCCTGAGCCTGGGGACACACAATACTTTAAAGCAACACTGTGGAGTGTTGTAGTCAAGACCACACCAAGACCAGTCCAAGACAACAGAGTCATGAGACCGAGACAAGACCAAAACCTCGGAGGGTCGAGACCAAGACAAGACCGAGACTTTTAAAGGTCGAGATCAAACAGTGACCATGGCCCATAAACACAAAATCGAGACCATCTTTATAATTTTTGATATTTATTTGTATTTTACAGTTATTTTGACACATTTATATCAGTGTTTTTAGAAATCCATCTCCATTTTATCACACATTCAGTGTCAGACCTCAAGACTGAGTCTAAGTGCCTTCAAGAGAAGGTCGAGTCCAAACATAGCCGAGTCCGAGATGAGACCAAGATAGTTAAAAAATAAAACTGTGTTGAGGCAAAGACTTGGCTCGAGACTGAGCCCGGGCTCGAGTACTACAACAACAACACTATGTAACTTTCTGGTCACAGTGTTGCCCTTAAGCCTGGGGACATACAGTACTTTAAAGCAACACCACGTAACTTTCTGGTCACAGTGTCAGCCTCAAACTGGGCCTTGTGTGACTTTATGGTCATGGGCACACGGGTCACTTCATGGAGGTAGAGTTAAAGCCGAACTATGGAATATTCTTCTTTCCAAACAAGACACTGAATGTCTTACAATAATAAATGATTTATAAATGTCCATTATAATGGACTCCTGGACACTTGTGTTGGATTTGATGGATCTTCTTTTTGTAGGTGATAGAAATGAACCAGAGGAGCTCTCTACTGAATTATAGAGAGATTGTGATTGTGACTTTTTGGATGAGGAGAAAGATGAGACGCACATCAGCCTGAGCTCAACTTCTTCAGTTATGATAGTGGATACACACTACATTTAAAGTTTGAATTACTAAAACTCATAAAAACATACCAACATTTGCAAAATATTAAAATAAACTATAATTTCTCAATGACATGAATATGTAGTAAAGGATTGGTTGGAAGTGAGCTATCGGAGAAGACTGGCCTTAGACAGAGCTGAGCAGAAGTGCAGTGGTGACAGTGAGCTCCACAGAGTCATGTGCAGATCATAGACTAGTATATGTACAGTGTATGGTGCAGATGGACAAATGTCACTCACTACAGCTTTACTCTACAAACTTCTCAAAACAAAGCACAAATTACTCTTCGCCAAAAGAGGGCGGCTCAGAGCGTCCTAAACTAGTTTGGACATTGAGTTTTGATGTGTCCTGCATGAAACATGAATCACTGTTTTGAGAAATACCTGACCAGTATAATCCTGCACTCATCTGACTCCTTCTGATCTGTACTTCTGATCTTCCCTACATGTTCTGCTCTCTCTAAGGCCGCTCTTCTCTGGATGTTCTGCTTTCTCTAAGGCCGCTCTTCTCTGGATGTTCTGCTTTCTCTAAGACTGCTCTTCTCTGGATGTTCTGCTCTCTCTAAGACCGCTCTTCTCTAGATGTTCTGCTCTCTCTAAGACCGATCTTCCCTACATGTTCTGCTCTCTCTAAGGCCGCTCTTCTCTAGATGTTCTGCTTTCTCTAAGACTGCTAGATGTTCTGCTCTCTCTAAGACTGCTCTTCTCTAGATGTTCTGCTTTCTCTAAGACCGCTCTTCTCTAGATGTTCTGCTCTCTCTAAGACCGCTCTTCTCTAGATGTTCTGCTCTCTCTAAGACCGCTCTTCTCTAGATGTTCTGCTCTCTCTAAGGCCGCTCTTCTCTAGATGTTCTGCTCTCTCTAAGGCCGCTCTTCTCAAGATGTTCTGCTCTCTCTAAGACTGCTCTTCTCTAGATGTTCTGCTCTCTCTAAGACCGCTCTTCTCTAGATGTTCTGCTCTCTCTAAGGCCGCTCTTCTCTAGATGTTCTGCTCTCTCTAAGCCCGCTCTTCTCTAGATGTTCTGCTCTCTCTAAAAGGCCGCTCTTCTCTAGATGTTCTGCTCTCTCTAAGACCGCTCTTCTCTAGATGTTCTGCTCTCTCTAAGACCGCTCTTCTCTAGATGTTCTGCTCTCTCTAAGACTGCTCTTCTCTAGATGTTCTGCTCTCTCTAAAAGGCCGCTCTTCTCTAGATGTTCTGCTCTCTCTAAAAGGCCGCTCTTCTCTAGATGTTCTGCTCTCTCTAAGGCCACTCTTCTCTAGATGTTCTGCTCTCTCTAAGGCCACTCTTCTCTAGATGTTCTGCTCTCTCTAAGACCACTCTTCTCTAGATGTTCTGCTCTCTCTAAGGCCACTCTTCTTTGGTCTTTTATGGTTTCCTTTGGCTGGAGAACCAGATCTATAGTGAGCTTCATGAGCTATAGGAGCTTCATTTGGCTAGAACTGAGTGCTACATGGCTAGCGTTACACTTTCTCAGTCTACTTCTTTGTACAGTCTCCACCCTGTACACACTGTACTTTTGCACAGGCAAAGAACTGTAAGGGCTACAGCTTTGAGACTTTTGTCAAACATCATATTCTGAGATAGTTCCTGGTTTGACAAGAAGTACTGGTATTTGGTAACATGGCTACATAGTGAGAAATGTCTGTAACGCACACATGGCCTTCTTCCCTATTTACTTCTATGAACACTTGTATGTGCACAGTTTTACAGGTAATTGTAAAAAGATTAAGTAAATATTTTCCCTACTCCAAATTAAAGGGCCCATAATGCACTGTTTTCTGATCTATGTTCTAATATAGTTTCCTCATCACAAACAGTCCTGGGGTTACATTTAGTTTCATTCACACATTCAGTCATTTGGATCATTTCAGCCCTGGAAATGCCAGTGTCTGCTGAACTAAAGGTGGCTGTTAACTTAAAAACTATCACTACATGACCTCAGCAATTTAACAACAGCACTCCCCACTTTATATTCTATACTATAAAGTATTCTATAAACAGGAGAAGGTACCAGAGAACATGATTCCCAGTCAAGTTGCCAGGAAGACTAGGTTCCTCTGACTAAATAGTGCTGGGGTATTAGAAGGTTATGTATTATGTCCAAGATAAAAAAAAAAAAATCCAAACTCAATGCAACTCTGTGCACAGCAGCACTCTAGCTCTCTGTGTCTCAAAGCTAACAGTCACTTTTATTAAAATGAAAAAGCATAAAATAAACATTTTTAAATCAGCCAATTATTTTTATATGTAGACTTTTTTATTATGCATCAAAATGAGCATAAACAACATGAGACATAGTACAGTAGGGCAGACTGAGAAGTGTCCTCCACTGAAGTATTGACCTAATTTATTTTGACTTTAACATGTGCTCAGTGACATCCACTGTCCACTCCTTTATCTTTAAATATGTATTTATTTTTAATGTGACTCTGCAAAAACCTCATAGGCTGCGTTCAGACTGCAGGGCTTAACGCTCATTTCTGATTCTTTTGTGAAATCCAATGTTTTTGTGAGGTCGTTCACATTTCCAATTAAATGTGACTTGTATGTGACTCCAGTGTGAACATTAAACGGCCCAAAAGTGTCCCGCATGTGCACTGTAGACACAATGACGTCAACCGCAGCGAGCGTGCTCTGTGTTTACGGAAGTTGTCCAAACATGGACGCAGCATTGAGCACCTGGAGATTTTAAAGTTCCTCTCGTACCGGAGCCAGAACATGAACAACTTACTTGTTTTAAGGAAGAGATTGAGAAGGAGAAGGACGAGGTTTTGGCCGTGGCGTTTTGAGGGACAGTCCGTTGAAAGGAACATGTGGATGTGGAGACGTAGCGAAGATGTGATGTACTTCGCTTCAGTGACACGGAGTTCATTAACAATTTTCGCCTACTTCAGCGCAGAATAGTGATGTTTGTGTCTTGTTGATAACGTGTAGGTGGATGAATGCGCTTTGGCTGTTCAGACTGAAGTCACATGTCAAAAGATCAGATATGTATCAGTTTCAAGAGCACATATCCAAGTGGCCTGGGTAACATTTGAAAAAATTTGATCTGTGTCGTTCAGACTGTCTGTAAAAGATCAGATACAGGTCACACAGGGGCCAAAAAATCAGAGTTGGGTCATTTCAGGCTGCAGTCTGAACGCAGCCTTAGTGATACAATTAGACAGGAAGTCGTGATGCTGACAGTGAGGCTGCAGGGCGCTGCCGTGCACAGAGATTAAACGTTAGTTTTTGACTGCACTATAATAAAAACTGACGAAATTCAAAATGAGACTGAAAACTTTCTAAGGCAACTGTGTAGGGGCTGCTGAGATGTTAGACATAAAAATAGTTATTGTTAAATTTTTTAATTTCATATTTAACACCAAAATGTTCCAGGCACCCATTACAGAGGACATGTTAAAAATAAAATTGACTAAATCTAAATGTAAATAAAATAAAAGGTGTTTAATTGCCTACAAATAGAAAATCACAAAAATATATACATATACAAATTTTTTTGGAGAAATAAAAACTTCTATGATTGTTAAAATGCTTTTTTTTTTTTTTTTTTTTTTTACAGCTAAATTGTTACACACTGGGGCCCACTCTGCCCTGATCTGATGGCTGTAAAGGTTCACCTGTTCTCCAGGGTCTTGATGTTCTCCGTGAGGACTCTGTGCTGCTCCTTCATCTGCTGGTTCCTCGTGTACAGCTCCTCCATGCGTTTCGTGTCACTGCAGAGAAAAATACATCAGTCAATCAATCAATCAAGAACATATGCCCATTTTTATCACTCCAGCACACAGCAGGGACTACAGAGCCTCATTTCGACTGGCATAGTCAGTCAGACATGACAATGGGCGTGACACAGGTCTATAAGACACACACAATCATGTGACGTAAGCCTGTGCCGCCATGAGCCCCTGGACTGTCAAAAGACCTGTGCTAAAGGAGCATCAGCAGAGCCCATAGCTGATCCTCACAAGCTTAAGTTTCTCATTTGTTTTCTCTGCACATGCTCTAGATTTTGATAACCAACTTTACTTTTTATGGCTGGGTTATCTGGGTGGAGGAGGAGGATCTTGTTTGGCTGCATCTTTTGGAGTTATTCTTTTACCGGGATCAGGAGTTTGGTTCATGTTATCTGTTTGCAGACACTACAGACTGTAACTGGATAATATAATAATATTATAATATTCCTAAAACTCTGAGACACTGAAAACGCCCCACACTGGAGACTCATTGTGTTTTCAGGTGGTTATAAGTTATAAGGATTCACAAGGGAAATTACCTCACACATCAATTTATTATAATAACAAAGAGAATAAAAAATAAATAAATGCAAATGATCCTAGAAGCTGTGTTGCTCGGGGCATCATTATGAATAAAAATTGGACCTCGTCTCTGTTGTTTGCAGATGATGTTGCCCTGATGCACTGGTTTGCAGGTTTGAGTGTGTAACAGCAGGGATGAAAATCAGCTCCTCAGATCATCTGAGGAGCTGATTTTCATCCCTGCTGTTCTCAGTCAGAAAAAGGTGGCGCCCTCTCCAGGTGGGTGGACAGTCTGCCTCAAGTGGAGGAGTGAAGTATCTCAGGGTCTTACCCACGAGTGAGGGAACGATGGAGCGTGAGATTGACAGTTGGATCGGCAAAGGCAAAGCTCTTGATTTACCACTCAATCTACATTCCTGCTGTCATGGTCATGAGCTTTGGCTAATGACTGAAAGGACGACATGTTAGATACAAGTGGTCAAAAAAAACTTCCTCCACATGATTGACAGGACAGGAGGTTATCTTTACAGAAGGGTGAGTTGTACAGTTGTAGGGAGTATTATGTAGGGAATATTATCTGTCCCTCTATAGTCTGTTGCAGTGCAAACTGTCATGGATCTTTTTGCATGAAGCCTAACAAGCAATGGTGAAATCCACTCAAAGCTGTTTGCAGCTTGACAGGGAGTGAGAGATGAGGGAATGAAGACAGACGAAAGAGAAGAGTCCAAACCAGCGTCTGTCTGTGTAAAAAGCTGCACTGCTCCTCACAACAGACACATGTGCAACATCATTTGAATGAAATATTGACCATAGGCTTTTATATGGTCTGTGCCTTTGTGATCAGTGCAGCATCCACACACACACGCGTCCTGTGTCCACACGCACACGCGTCCCGTGTCCACACGCACACGCGTCCCGCGTCCACACGCACACACGGGACGCGTGTCCACACGCATGGGTGTCTCGCATCCATATACATGTGTGTCCCATGTCCACACAGACATGTTTCCTGTATGTAAGAGCGTCTGGACTGTAAAAGTGTCAGCAACACACGACTATAAAAGTCCCTTTTTCAGCTGTGTCACACAGAGACAGATGTTCTGACACAGGTGTGTGATGCACGAAATGAAACTTTGGACTGAACTGTTTCTTTAGACGTTCTTGGAGACAGAGCTAAAATAATCTGGACAGTGAGTCTTGTCCTAGTCGGGTTTGTTTCTGAGTGCTTGTTACTGCAGCAGCTCAGTGTCACCTCTGGTTAGTCATTTTGGCAGAATGAAACTGAAGCTTTGATAAGCCTGGATTGGCCAAATAAGCTCAGCTTTGGCTTTACCTCGCTTCATGGTATATCATCCAGAGCTTTCTCAGAAAGTCTACTCATGCCCAACAGTATTCCTGTTGTCCCTCCAGTCCAGCCTGTTGTTCACATGGACTCCGAGGTACTTGTTACAGTCCACTATTTTTATGTCATGGCCCTGGATGGTCCTGAAGTCAATCACCAGGTCACTGGTGATTAACAATGTGTTGTGTGATAATTAACCTGAACTAACAAAACAGGAACCCACAATTATATGTTAAATGGTTTAGGTAGGATATGGTAAATAAACAAATTAAAACATGTGAAATCAAAAACATTTATGTGACTTCAAATGGGACAAAGGCTCACTTTGTCACAGGCTGACAGACACATCTAAGTCTGTGGTCTCGAAATCAACAAAAATCAGAAGCCCAGAGACCACAGTGTGAATCCTGTCACAGGAGCATCTTCATCCACTGAGGGAGGGATGTAAACTCCAGTGAACAGGACACAAGTATATTCTTTTAGTAAATTCTCTTCCCTCTGACCCCTCCCTCTGGTGTGACCCAGACTTACCAGCCCTTCTTATTGGACATCTCCTGGAGTTTGACCTGCCATCCTGAAGGTCAAAACAAAGGAGAGGGTTCATTAACTCATTTACTCAGAATAACCACGTCAAGTTTACTCTAAATATTCAGATGCATTTGACAGTTTAAACTACTCATTTCTCTAAAACACAGACAACTCGATTAGTTTTGTCAAGTTTGGTCATTTTGGAGAAGTTTATAATTTTACTTGCTGGTTGGATGTGAGCAGCAGATGTGAAATACATAAAGGTACTGTTACTGAGCAACCATGATGTAAACAAGGGTCTAAATGACACAATAACTTCCAAAAATAAACATAAATATAATAAATAAGCTATCAGAAAAAGTCTTTCCTTGTGTGCAAATTGTCTCTGCATTTAGGATGGAATTTCCCATGATGATGACATACGTAGAGGGGATTTTGTTTTCGAACACAGTGCTGCTTCCTGCTTCCTTTTACAGCTTTTTGTTATAAAAGTACTGTACTGATACTAAACCATAAATATTTAGGACAGGTACTATCCACTAAATCATGTCAGAATGAGAAAAAACATGAATGTGTCAAATGTGTCAGACTTTAAATCATGATATTGACCTTCGACCTCTCGTTCGTGACATTCCTGAAGTTTGAGCAGCAGGTCGTTGAAGTCGTCCATGTTGTCCTCAGCGGCGTCCTCTGAAATTCACACTGAAAACTACAAAAACACAAAGCACTAATGAATTCATGGATTGTGTGGTCTTAGAGTTTAGGTAGGAGCACAAAAGACTTGTTACCATAGAAATCAGAAACCCACCAGTTTTGGCAGTAGAGCAAAACTCTTGGTTTCGATCTGAGTAATATTAAAACAAGTCTTATGATATTGATCTGATACCAGTGATGATTGGTTTAATAAAAATGTTCCTATATAAAAAGTTCAGAACTTCCAGTCTCACTGTAACAAACTTCACAAGCTTACAAGAGTCCACCTTGACCCCGCTGGTGAGATTGAGACTGGACCAATTACAGAACAGCATTGTGGTGTGGGCGGAGCCAAAGGCCAGACGTCAAAATAAACCAAGACAAACCAGGCAATGAAAATGAACATACTTGAGTCTATTTTCACAGAAATACACACTGTTTAGTTTGTACACATACAAACAGAAAGAACTTTGTGCATTTGTGGAGAGAAATACGTCTGCTCTTTTCTCTCAACTGGATTTAACCAGAGTTTGTTTTTTCGGTTTGTTCCGTTGTTTTGATGCTTTGACCAATCAGCTGGGAGTATTTCTTTATTACTTTCTCTTACTATCTCTTTCAGTGAGCGTTATCCCAAATTAAAAATGTGTAGATCTCTCTCTGGAGTTATGAGATTAAACAGTAAAATCTTGTGTGGTTTCTTTGTGATGGTGACTCCTCTGATCGCTCCCGTCAGAGTTTGAGTTTAAATTATTAAATGTGATAATGATCAGATTCTGTTCTGTAAACATCGTTTGTTGACAGTTTTAACCAGAACACAACAGTTTTTTTTTTTGTAATCAGATCGGACATGAACCTGTAGAAAGTGAGACAAAGCCTGACCACTTACTCCCAAAGTGCATTTAATGAATGAAAACGTTTGGATCAGTGGATCTTCTCTGTGTGCCACTCCCTTATAAACCATCTGCCCACTGATTGGATCGGCCAATTCAAAAGTGAGGACTATACCTGAACCCTTATCCTCTGGTTGGCAGGGAAATGTGAGCCAAGTGTGAGTGAGTGATATCGCTGGAGGACAGGGTGAGCTGGTCTCACTGGTTCAGCTCTAGTTTCCTGAAACAAAACTGTAGATTTCTCTGTTTGTTTTTCAGCTCCTGTTTTTGGTGTGGCCACAGAACTACTGTGACAGAAAAGAAATGTCTGTAAAGAACACTACAGGAGAATTCACCGGATTTGAGATGATATCACAACATTGTAGACACCAATTATATTTCATGAATACTTTGCTGTGACATCATAGGGGATCTACATGTATGTCTATAGAGGAATTGTCAGCAGTTACCATGGACACACAATGCACTTATTAACAAACACTGATGAAAAAGTTTTTAAGTCATCCAGAAAAATACAAAATGCATTTAAAGAGCACATAATTGGAGGGTCTGCTCTTCTGGAAATATCGTGAAAAAAAAATAGTGGTCATTTTAGTGTAGGTAACCTTCATTTTGTGATAGAAAATTTTGAAAAATGAAAAATGTCCTCAAATCCTCAGTGGGTTGGGTAAGCTGTCTATAAATGAATTCCAGATGCAAAGAACACATGTGGTGACAACATTCTGTGAAAAAAATATTCTTAAAACACATTTCTACGTGATTTTGGCTCAATTTAATGCAAAAAAAGAAGGCGTTTTTTTTTACTTTTATCCAATATTTTCTTTACCTCATTGGCAATCAACTGTTTCCCCAAGTTTTGACATCAGCCAATATGCCATTCTTTTCACCAAACTGTATAGTCATTCCACAGAAAAAATAATAAAAATCCAACCAAAATCAGTGGATCTTTGATGATTTCATTACCATCAACAGGCCCAGAACCTCAATAGAATGTTAGGCTACTCTCAACATTCCATAAGGCACACTGGATATATGTATTATTATTATTATTATTTGTGATTAAAGAGGGGCATCTGACTTGTATGGGGCATGAACTGCTCACACATAACACATTTAAATCACCATGTTGTTCATTGTTTTGAAATGCTATATTTGGTGAAAACATATATTATTAATATTAGAATAATATTAGAAATTCATATGTTTTAGAAGATTAACCTTTGTTCACTCTCTGAGTCTTCCCTCCCTTTGTCACCCCCCCTTCAGAGCACTATCACAACACAATCAGCGTCCCTCCTGTTAATACAACGACTACGACTATCACATCAGGTTTGTCAAGTTATGTAAAGTTTTACATCACGTTTTTGTATATTTATGGATGGATTGTGACATAGACTAGACTCAAAAGAGGGTTCAACGTTATAACAAGGTAGAACTGTCTCTTGTAAGGAACAAAAACAAAGTGACATTATTATTTGAAAGATTATAGTCACTTAGTGTTTGTTTGTGTCTGTCGGTCGTGTTCACGTGACATGAGCAGCACACAGTAGTCGCTCTAGTTTAACCGGAGCTGAGACAGGTCAGAGCTCTCAGGTGGAGTTTGCTGTTCAATTGTTAGATGCAAATTTGTGACCTGGTTTATGGTTCACATCTCTGTAATTACTGGGCCTATCCACACAAAACTAAAACTGGCACAGGTTCTTCGAAACTTAAGTCAACTTATTATTATTTTTTATTTTTTCACAATCGCTTCAGAAAGTGGTGCCATTATTCAAGCCAGTCCCAAATAATGTGAAGGAGAAACATAAGTGGATCAGAAATTTGGAGGTTTCTTTCAAAAACCTGCTGGAGAGTTCTACAAGCCCCTGTCGCCCATCTGTAATCATCATCAAATAGTGAAACTAGTAACTCAACATTTCTATGTGCATTCAATGTCCAACCGCCCCCCCCAAAAAAACATGCTACAGGTCTTCAGGAAGAACAGTTGATAGTCAAGGTCAGTTAAATAGAATCAATCAATGAACCTGTCCAGAGACAACAGGTGGAAATTTGCACTGGTGCTACAACCTGGTACAAACATTTCTCCTGTCAAGGTTCATGTAAAAATTGTGGCTGACCCTGTCTCAAATAAATAAATAAGTAAATAAATGTGTGTACAATCCCTCAGTTGCAAAAGGAGAAATTCAATTTGTCAACTGGGCAAAAGTTTATAACCAGTGTTGGGGAGTAACAGATTACATGTACTGGAGTTATGTAATCAAAGTACAAATTATGAGTAACTGTATTCAGTTACAGTTACAGTTTCAATGAGTGGTAATTGGATTACAGTTACTTGGTTGAAATAAATGGAAACATGGCGGTATTTTCCTGTTTTCACATTTTTGGCCATTCCCTTTTTTTTTTTTTTTTTTTTTTCTCGGTAATTCCACTCATTGCCGGACACTAAACCCAGTCCAAACCCAGTCCAAACCAGGTCTAAACCGGGACTAAAACCAGGCCTAAAACCAGGACTAAAACCAGGACTAAAACCAGGACTAAAACCAGGACTAAAACCAGGTCTAAACTAGGACTAAAACAAGGTCTAAACCAAGTCTAAACCAGGTCTAAAACCAGGTTTAAATTAGGTCTAAACCAGGACTAAAGCAGGTCTAAACCAAGTCTAAACCAGGATTAAACCAGGTCTAAACCAGGTCTAAAACAGGATTTAACAGGACTAAACCATGCTGTGTGGACCATGTCTCCTTGTCTTCTGTCAATAATATTTTTATTTTGGTTAAGTAAAGTCTGGACTTTTCATTTTCTTTCAGCAGATAAAATCCCATTTCCTCGTCTTTTCTTTACAGCAAATCAAGTAATCCAAAGCGTTCAGATTACATTACTCACTTTAAGTAATTTAATGGATTATGTTATAAACTACATTTTGGGGTATGTAATCTGTAATCTATAAGGGAATATATTTTAAAAGTCACCTTCCCAACACTGGAGCTAACGACACTGAAACTACTCTGAAACTAACACACCTGCTTGTTTACACTTTCGGTCATATTAGCAGAATCGTTCAGGGCCATAATGGAGCTTTCACACCTCTGGGCCTGATGTGGCAATCCCTACTGAACATACAAACAAAATAATATATCAAAAAAAAATAAAAAAATAAACTGACCAGAGCAAAAGAAGCAATCGCTACTGTAGTTACTGTAGTTGTGTCCTTGGACTTCTGCGTGTGTGTGACGTCACAGGCTGAGGTCACAGAGGCCCAGAGCGGCTCTGGCAATTAAATCAGCTCAATGGGCTAAAGTACAGGTTCTCAAATAGAAACATGTAACACGAGCGCACTGTGTAACTTTCACATCCTGCCACCTGCTCGTTTCCATGGAGAAGCTGCTAGTCCAGAATAGTCCGCAATATGGCATTAAAGGTCTGAAATCCCCATGGGGTTTATTGGAATGTCATAAACCAAATAAATCTCCATGAAAACAAGCAACTCAACTTAACCAACAACTGTAACTGAATCAAATAAATATATATTAAGCAACATTCCAGACAAAGCAATACGATTTCCATGAGGGAAAGTGGTGACAGAGCGTCCACCAGAGCGTGACAGGTGACACACAGCACCTTTAAAACGATTCCAATCTATACAGTATTCAACAGTCAAAACTGACGGTAGAGTTACACGGTCAAAAACAAGACATGCGATTTAAATACACAAGTATACACATGATTATACACATGATTATACACATGATACACGTGATTTCAGGTTCAAATACACTGCAATAACATGACCTCAAAGTTTTTGCAGTGTTTGGGGTTTGAATTCATGTTTTTTTTGTTTTCCAGTTGGATCTGAAATCTTTTTTGTTTTCTTCAGTTGGATCTGAAATCTTTTTTGTTTTCTTCAGTTGGATCTGAATTCTGTGCTTTTGCATTTTGATGAGTTTAGACGTGTTTGGATTCGTCAGCGGAAACTTCTGCTCTGCATGAGACGACCTGCCTCTGTCTGCTCCGAAAACACTTTCACGCAAACAACTTTTTACTTTGACTTTAATGTAAAGCTGCACTATGTCGCTTTTTCTGATGGGGGTCCAGCACGTGCTCGTCTCCATGGAGATGTTATTGTTTT